GATCAAAATTCTTTTAATGATTGGTCAAAGAGATAAATATAAATGAGACAATAAACTAGGGCTAATGGTTAATTGATTACCCTTCACCTTGATTTGGGTTTTAACGTGGGGAAGGTTTAAAGTTCCTCACGTGAGTCCCTAGGGAATTTTTTGCTCTTTAATACTTAATAGTTAATTTATTGTTGTGTAGTCTTATTTTATAAAATTGAAAATTGGTCATTTGCATCTAACACACAAGCTTTCATTTAGGTTTTTCTCGCACATCATTATCTCTACCTTTTGGACAAAGCCTGAACGTATCTAAGTCTTCATTCAATTTTTAGATTTGCCATTTTACAAGTCATTATCTTTGAGAGTTATTTCAAAGAGAACTCCAGTGCGGCAGTTTCAACAAGGATTCTCTCAATTATTAACAAAGTATCAGGCATCAAAGACTTTTGGGGTTATTACCTCCTTCCTAGTCACAATTTGGGTACTTGAAGAATTGGCTTCTAAGGAAGGTTCCTTAGCATAGGGTTGAATATTGTGGGTGCCCTTGGAGCTTTTTCTTCTGGAAGATTCTTTATTTGAGTTTCTTTTGCGAGTCATAGTTGGTGTTTAGAGATTTCAAAGAGTAAAGAGTGCACAAAAATAGAGAAGAAATGATAGGCATTTTCAAATAGGAGAAGCAGTCGCGCCAATAGTTTGAATGCGGAATTTTCCTCTTTGTTATCAGGTGATTAATCGATCAAAATTCTTCTAATATTATTTTGCACTCTCATCATTCTATAATGATTGTTGCTTGCAGTCATTTCTGTGAATTGTTATATTAAAAAATTATGTAGAATTTAGATTGTGTAATTTATAAGATATAAGTGTGTTAAGATTAGCTAAACTATTTTCAGGATGAAATTTATTCTTGTAACACACCAAGTACACTTCTTACTAAGGAAAGAATCTTATAATAGTAAGTCTCCTTATTATTCTAAGTGTGTTGAGACATGTCCATTAGTATTTAGTAGCCATATCTCTTTAATTATCTAATTCTAAGTAAGGCTACCTATTTATTCAACTACCTCGTTAATTACACCTGTTAATAGGATTTGAACTTAAGTTCTTGAAAGACAAATAAACGTACCATCACTTTTCACCACTACACCACTTTTACTAGTGTATATTATAAACTTAATTTTATAACCATTTTAAGAATTAAGTATACAAAAGTATGAGTGTAATTTAATTTATTATTAATATAGTTTTTTTTAACTATTAACATATTATAATATATAATAGATATAATTTTAAAAATAATTATTATAAAAAATAATTATTTTTGTTGATAAGATAATTTATAATTACATGATAATGTAAAATTTAATTTATTTTATCAATAAGATGAAAATTTAGTAGGTGAATTTTTAAAAATTAGCAATAAAAATATTTTTATAATATTTTTAGTATTGATTATTATAAACATTTTTTTTATAAACCCGCATAGCGCGTGAATTGAAACTGACACTGAGTATATTTTGACAAAAAATTTTACTTGTACTTTTTATACTTAAAACATTTTTGTTTGTTACTTTATAATATGAAGATCTAGCTTGATGTAAAAACATTTTTTTTAAATAAATAAAGAGGTAACAGATTATAAAAACAATATCAACAAGCCCAATCCCAAGGGCTCGACAATTTTTAGTTTGTATCAGACCCAATTGAAATCGTTAGTTGTTTTTACATCACTGTTTTATTTTTTATTAATCACATTATTTTTTTTAACTGTTATTTCAAAATAACAAATGTCTAAATAAAATAAGTTATTGTCGAATATTAATTTTAGAATGTATTAAACAATTTTGTTTTTTAATTTTAACGCCAAATGTTTGTATATGTACTCCAGAATAAGTAAATAAATAACAGAAAAGTTGGTGCTTCTTTTGAACTTTTTCCCTAAAATATAATACTATTTTTCCAATTTTTTTTTAGATATTTACACGTTCATTATAAAATTAAAATTTTGGAAATGATTTTTTACAAAATATTTTAGACTTAAATTTTTGAAAGTGTTTTCAACATGTATGGAGATAAATTTCAAAATTTATCACTATTATTTTTACACATAAGGGTAATTTTAGAAAAAAAAAATGGTGCAAGTAATTAAAAATGTCGTGCAAAAAAGTTTATTATTAAAAGTGCAGCTAAATTTTTAAGTACAAGGTTATTTAGGTTAGCTCACAAGGCTTGATCTATTTTAACACTCTACCTAAAACCCAAGTCTTCTACTTTTTGGATATTGAATTCTCGACCTACCCCCTCTTTTGTAAAGATCAAGATCACCCAAACATAATATAAACTTAAGAAAATTATAAGATAATTATTTTAAAAAATAATAATTATAAAAAAGAACAAGAGACCTATTCTTAAAAGATTAAAGTTTTTTATAAAATAAATATTTATAAAAAAACTAAAGAATATGCGTTTTTTCAAAGAAAATACCTTAAGTCGTGGAACTCAAGGTTGCCCTAGAAAAAGAAAAAACAAAGGTAGAACTCTGAGTTAATGCATGGCTAGGGATTGGAGAGGAGAAGTAGGGTAAGTTGTTGAAACAATAATGGATTCGCTCAGATGCTATATTGGCAAGTGAGAACAAGGAGTGCAATTGCAAGTGGATGGAGTTGTTGTCTCCCCATAAATTTTAGTATTTTTACAGTTTTACATAACTTTGAAGTGGGATGAGTTTGACCTTGTTGGATGCCACGTGGGCAATTTTGAACTATGCTAATGTGGATAATTTCATTTGAGCTATTTAATACCCAAATGGAATTAGCCACGAGGAAAATCTTGAAATAAAAAACTAAATAAAAAAGACTAACTTGACTTTTAAAAATGACAACAAATTAATTTAAAACTTAAAACAAGTTTTAGATCGTGAAATTATTCATTTTGCCTATAATATAGTAATTATTTTCCTCAAAATATATTTTCATAAGGTGAGAGACAAAATGCTGATATTATTGTTAGGAGCAAAAAGCAAAAGAGCCGTATATTTTTTCAGATTTAAATATATTTTTTGTAATATTTTAATTTTAATGTCTCGAAATTTTTTATTTAATATTTTTAATCTTTAATAATAATGTAATTCATTTGAAATCTATCTTATATAATTTTTGTTGTTGTGTAACGTTAATAAAAAATATTAAATTAAAAATTAAAGACCATTTAAATATTAGTCCTTAAACAAGCTAACGGCTAAATGGTATTTGAAAGATTGATGATGATGCATTTGATCCTCAAACGTTTTGAAACAGCAATTTAATCTTCAAACGATTAATGTTTTATTTCGAAGTTTTAAAAAAGAAAAAAAAAAGTTTGAAGAATGATTAACAATAATCTCCCTTAATTTGGAAAAAATAAAAATAAAAAATGTAAATTCATGTGAATTTTAAATGGTTAATAATTTTTTTTATATTTAAAAACTTTAAAATAAATTTTTTTATCAAATAAAATTTCATTCTTTCTTAAAATTATTTCTCAAACAAAGGCTGAGAGTTTATCAATTTTTAATAAATTTTAGTAATGTAATCTTTTACATGTATTTATATTAAAATGTATGAAAATAACATTTTCAGCATTAACTAAATTAACACTAAATAAAATTGTGACATCATTTTTTTTTGTTAGCAATGTGGAAGACTGTGTGAATGTGGAAGACTTTGTGACATCTCTTAAACAAAATATTTATAACTAGTAATCTTTAAACCCCCAAATCCCATAAGTACAGATACAGTGCACACTAAACCTTCAATAAATTGTGCAAAGTTAATAATTTTTATATTTTTGCCTAAACATATTCCCCATTGAATGCTGCATGATGTGATGAAGGTTGAGTCTGTGACACCTCATCATGAAATACGTCAGAACTAAAATCTTATTGGTTAAAAGTTCCAGCTAGGCGTCGATGTGGCGCTAGCCAGTGGTTTAGTTCGTTAACTCGCCCACCCAAAGCGTTGCAGGCTCGGGGCGGGTTTTGTTCAACCCGTTTTTGTTTAGCAGTAAAAATAAGAAATATTTACAATCATTTCTAAAGTTATTTTTGAGTATTCAATAATAATAATAATAATAATAATATATTTTTTAAAAATATTTATTCTATATTTAAACTTAATTCTAAAATGTGATATTAATAAAATAAAAATAAAAACATAAAAATTAGCTCTTACCTAACTTTATCTCATATACTTTTTGTTTTCCAGAATAGTTTGCTTCTGAAGGGTAAGAAAATGACTGGTTATCAGTTCAAAACACTTCAATAAATAAAACTCGTTTATCTTTCTGTTAATAATTTTTTTTAACAAATAAATACATGTTTCAAAATTTTCAGTTTTTCAAAATTAATTTTACCAAACAATGCTCTTCACTAAATTAAACAAGTTTATTTGTTCACACAATTTTCTCCGCAAGATGTGTTTTAATTTATAAACAATTAAGGGTTTTATTTTGATATACCAATAATATAAATATTTTTATATTATTAATTAATTAAAAAATATATATAGATATTATTTTTTAAAATTAATTATTATAAAATAAAATAAAGATGTTACACTATATTTATGATAAAAGGCTTTTTTTCCAAAGTTAGATTCATGAGATGTTTTTAAGCTAAAAAAATTTAAATTAATCTCTATTTACTAGTTGTGATTATCGATGATTTAAAAATTATCCACAGTAATTTTTTAAAAAAATAAGTTGAAACCTAATACTAGAAATGGTTTATAGCAAAAATTGGTTTAATAATATATAGATATTATGTTATTTGAAGGAACGGTGTGCGTAAAAACAGGACAAGTTGACCCGCGCATCTACCCGCCCCGACACGCCTCGCAGCGAATAGCTGAATCGGCCAACTTCCCGAACGGCAACAATATTCACCGTCGCACACTCTGAGTAAGCAATCACGTTCTCTGCACTCGCTCGCTCGCTCGTATCCCCAAAACGACCATGAATCCCCCGGTAATTACAAATCTGCCCCCGCTCTAATTCACAAATACCAAGGACAACCTTTGCTCTTTTCTTCTCAATCTTTATTTTCATCCTGTGCTGCATGTTGATGGTAAATTGTGGGTTATGGAACAGCAGAGAACTCTCTCCGGTTCATCACAGAGCCCTAGATCTCCGTCATCTTCCCAACCGTTTCTCTCTGTCTCCGTCACCGATCCCGTTAAGCTCGGCAATGGCGTCCAAGCTTATATCTCCTACCGCGTTATCACCAAAGTATTACAATCATTCCCATGCTTCTTCACTCTTCTTTTCTTACACTTTGTGCTCTTCATTTATTTATTTATTTTGTCTTTTTTTTTATGTTGGAAATTTCTCGTGAATCCAAGTCGAGCTTTGATTTTCGTGTTGACGGAGGTCGTTGAAGTTTTCCTTCAACTCTACTCCGACCGCGTTATTAATTTCGAGTGTGGAAACGGTGAAGTGAAATGTTTAGATAGTAGAATCTCGGCTTTTCGTGCGATTGATTTTGCTGAGGAGTGAGAAGTTTAGTTCAGGGGTTTTTCTGTGATCGATATTGTTGATGTGATTAGATTTTCAGGAGTAATCGAGTGATTTTCTGTGAATGCAGTTAAATAGGGATTCATTTCTGAGGGATTATAATGGATTGGAATTGGAGCATTGTGATTGAGAGAAATCACAGAGCTGAAACGTATTGGATGACTCTCTTTTTTTTTTTTTTCTCTTTCTGAGATGTCGTTTTATCTTTTGGATTATGTTTCAATTTAGTAAACACTGATTTGCATTCATGCATTGGTTTCCGTTCGTTCTCGGATGCTGTTGAGGTTAGCTTGGAGAGCTCCTCCTGATTTCCATATTGCTGATGACAGTCCCTGAGAGCGTTCTTGGGGTTTTCTCGGGTGAAAGGGTGAGTACCTGCAAAAGGCGCTTTTATGCTCAAATCAGTAGGAGGTAGAGAATGAGAGAATTGAGTGTGCCTGTTGTACTGGTTGTAACACTTTGAATAAGGATCCTCATCTCCCATCCCACTGTGTGTGGGCAAGTACTTGTCCTTAGAGTGCGAATAACAGCCTGTGATTTGTCGGATTCCCAGTCATAACGGTACCAGAACCATTATGATTAAGATTTGAGATGGAACGTCCGTGTTAGTTGATTTGTTTGAGGATAGGCTTGGATAAAAAAAATTTTGCTCATGGTTTTCCAGAAGCAGAGAATGTTTAATTCCTTAAGGATGATGATCCATTTTTTATAGTTAAATCATGTCACCAAACCTTGTTACTCCAAGTTCCCACATCCATTATTGTTAAACTTTTGAGTGAACTGTTAGACTCTTAAGAGTTTATGATTCTAGGTATAGAGAAATTATGTAAATTTGCAATCAAACTTTTTTTTTTTTCCGGATAAAATCGAGTAGACTCAGTAAACTTAAGTAAACATAAACTAGAGTAAAAAAATGAGCTAATCAGTTAAAAAACAATTGTACTTTTTGCCTCCGATTGACCCACAACCATATTGTTTTATGCTGTCCATGCACTTTTATGAAGCCAACATAATTGCAACATTTTCGTAGGGCTCAAATCAAATTACACAAATTGATAAAACCCTCACAAGTCTATTTTCTTTAAACCATTTGAAGTTTGGTCATAGCATGCAGTTTTGTTACTATCAAACTGTGTTGTCAAATTGCCATCCTTCTTTGTTGTGACAACACCTGTGAACCCAGCATCCATTGTGATCCCAGCATCACTGAGACCCAGTGCTGTGACTCATTATTAAGGAGCAAGGATTAAGCTATTGTGCTTAATAAGGACTAAGGTATTGTGCTTTGATGTGGAATTCTTTCTAGCCAAACACTGTTACATCCTTCTAACATACCATATTACCAAACCTAATTCAGCTGTAGTTGTGACATTTTAATTACATTGTCTGGTCCTTAATTTTGGAACCAAATTAAATGATAACTCATCATATGTGCACACATGTAGACCTATGTTTATGTGTCTTTATTATGATTTGTGATGGGTTTTTACCATATATTTGAATATTTTTAATAGTTTTTAAATTATCATTTATATTAGGTAAACTCTTATGAATGAGTTAAGTTTATGGAAGCTTGATGATTTTACCTTGCCCATGTTACTATTCTTATTTTAGCTTGAGTCTGCTAGCACGGAAATGTTATCTATCACTTTAAGTGCTCTGTATAAAACTCATTGGGTAGGTATCTATGAACATTCAATGCAATAATAATTGGCAAATACCGGTTAAGGGAACAAATACAGGAACAAAAAGTAGAAAATTTTTATTGAAAAATAAAATTTATTAGATTGGAAACACAAAAAAGGATTTAATACATGCTCTTTCAAGCAATTATCCAAATTCACCCTAAATGTTTCCAATAAGTTTTTTTTGTTAAAATGATGACTTATGTCATAAATTTAATGATGAAACTTATTGGGATAAACTGAAAACAACTTATTTTGATAAGCTATATCAAGAAGCTTATTGTAATAAGCTGAAAACAACTTATGAGAGTTACAAGCTGTTTTTCATAAGTTATTTATAAGTTCTTTTAAAGAGACCTTTAAAAGGATTTATTAATGCTTCTCATGACTAAGGTATTGTGCTTCTTAACCAATACACTAGCAAGACTCATGACTATTTCCTCCCTTATTTTCGATACAAGGATATTCTTTTTCACTATGTGTTTTAGTTTTTTCTACTGCACTTAATGCATGAGAGAGATGTATAACTGTAGATATATTCCACATCATCATCATCTTACTAAAACAATTTGGCAGACAAATTTTCCTGAATATCAAGGACCTGAGAAGATTGTCATCCGACGTTACAGTGACTTTGTCTGGCTACGCGATCGCCTTTTTGAGAAGTATAAAGGCATTTTCATTCCTCCTCTTCCAGAGAAAAGTGCTGTAGGTAACATCTAATAAGGACTTTTTCTTGCATGTTTAATAATGGTTTGAAAGTAGCTACTGCCATTGGAATTCTTATGCTAAGGCCTCCTTGGTACTCTTTTGATCTCCTTTTCATTTATCATAACGATAACATCTTGACTGAGGGGAACTGCTGTATCCTTTCATTCTGCTTTTCACATAGTCTGACAAAAAAGTTCACCATGTGTTTCTTTTTATTAAAATTTAACTTTGGAAAATGGAAGTACCTTGTCAGCTGTCTTTGCTTCTTGTCTATTTTTCGTGGTCTCTCAGATTTCTGATGGAACTTTGTAGCCTGAATTAGCATTTTAGTTATCCTGTTTGATCTATATATTATAGTAGTTTATGGCTTATTTTCAGAATTTAACATGCTATGTTTTGCTTTTTGGGTATATCATGTGACATCAGCAGTGCATTTAGTTGATGATTCAATTAATTATTTGGCATTCATCATCAATAATGACTAGCCTAAGCTGATTGAGGTCCTACAGAAGCTTTGCATTATGTGTGAAAAATATTTGTTGTACACTTGATATATCACTGTTGAATTTTAATAATTTATATAATGCCATCCAAAATTCCAGTCTTGAAGAACTGTTGCATTGTGATTGTAATTTATTTGATTGGAAACTTCTAATGTTGTGCTATTCAAAATTCCATTTGGGCTTCACTTTTGGTTTGTTATTGCAGAGAAATTTCGTTTCAGTGCTGAATTTATTGAGATGAGGCGGCAAGCATTGGATATTTTTGTAAATAGAATAGCATCACATCATGAACTTCAACAAAGTGAGGACCTGAAGTTGTTTTTGCAGGCAGAGGAAGAGGTGATGTCTCCTCTTCAGTATATTATTTATTCCTCTGTGCAGCTGTGTCTATTTTAAATGTGATTTGCTCTGTTGCTCTTTTTCTACTTCAATTGTTGTGCCATGTTACTGCACTGTTTTTTGTTTGAGTTCTAATCTTCTATTCCAGCTAACCATTATGATTTATGACCAAATTAATTGTTCAGTTTGGTGGTGAGTCTCCTTAATTGACTGTCAAATGGTTGATTTCATATTCTGTGAGTTATATTAGTGATTGATGTATAGAAAATTGAATTATGCATTATGGTCACTGAATCCATGAGGACCATGCAACCACTGTTCATGCTGGAGAGTGGGATATGGAAGGTGCAAGAATTGTTAATAATTTTTTTTTTTAATTCTTTCATATATATGATGTAGGTGTATCTATTGTATTTATAAGTGCTCTATTTCTTCCTTTTTTTCTCCATTCAACTTTTAATAGGGAAATGAAAATCCTAATTTAATCTTGATTTCTTGAACGTACTATGCAGACAATGGAAAGATTAAGGTCACAAGAGACTGGCATATTCAAGAAGAAGCCAGCTGATTTAATGCAGATTTTAAAGGTAAGACATGTTCTAATGCTATCGTGGATTGTGGATGGTTTTTTTTCACTAGGCTGAAATCTGTCAAATTAGTAATTTTAAATTTGAATCCCTCTAATTTCCTGTCTAAAAATAAACTAACTATGGGTGCTTTTTTTTTGGTCCTGTTTGTAGCTATGAACACATGCGCTTGCATTAAATGATGAAATATGTTGGAAATAATGAAAATAAAATAATGCAATTTAAATTCCTACAAATTATTTAATGAACTCATTGGTTTTATTGAGTTCAAGAAAAAAAGATGATGAGGGTGTGATACTGATAATTCTAGTGTGGTATTGGGACTATGTAATTTTAAAACAATTAAAAGAAAATTATTCAATAAAATATATATGGGTGAATTATACGGACACCCTTTGGGGTTTAACAAAATTTCACCTGATACTCCTTCCTTTTAACCACTCTTAATTTTTGTAACAATAGAACTCCACATACCCTTTTCGATTACACAATCCACCCTTGATTTCTTATGCAATTATGAGTCAAGGGATGTTAAAGTAATTTTAAAAAAGGGAGAAGTATCGAGTGTAATTTTGTTAAACTTCAAGAGGTGTTAATGTCATTTGCCCAAAATATAACAGAAAAGCAAAGTATTGTGGGGTAGTGAAAGGGAGTTAGAAATTTTTATGAAGTCTAGAAATTTAGATGCATGTTCAACTATTTTTGTTTTAGAATCAAAAGTAACATTTTTGAAATGGAAAAGGATGCTGTTGGAATAAAGTACACAGAGAATAAGTGAGTTTTACTACCGAGTTTCTTCCTTTAGTATAATTCAGACTAGCTAGCTAACCTGAAACCATTGTTGATATGCTTTTTAGGTTTTTACAAATCATTGTCATAGATGATATGTAGCTCCTTTGAGTAGAGCAATGGACTTGGGAGATTACCTAGTTTTAGCTTGTCCTAAATACACCGATGAAGTATACTTTGTTCTATGTTTTCTGTACTTGATTGCATTTTGCTAAATTATTGTGAAATTCTTCTGCTTCAGTATTTCACTCAGATTATCTTTTCCTTGGATATGAATACATATACACCCAATGTAAACAATTACTCAGACTGAAGTTTTCCTTGTTTTTGAAATTTGCTTTTGCTGACCCATCTAGTTGAGCGTGCTGTCCATCCTGGTATCTTATTAGATCTATAATTTCTTGTGTGAATTTTGACAGGATGTGCAATCTAAAGTGAGTGATGTTGTTCTTGGGAAAGAGAAGCCAGTGGAAGAATCAGATCCTGAATATGAAAAGCTGAAACATTACATCTTTGAGCTTGAAAACCACTTGGCTGAAGCTCAAAAGCATGCATACCGTCTTGTGAAGAGGCATAGAGGTGATGATTGAATTGAAGAATTTTGTTTGGTTCTTATTATTGTTTGTGTGTCTATTGTCCTTTCTGTTTTACATTTTTGTGATTCCTTTATACATTTTATCCAATATTCTGGGCAAGATCAATTCATAATTCAAATTATACTTTACAACATTCATACAGAGTTGGGTCAATCGCTGTCTGATTTTGGAAAAGCAGTAAAACTTCTGGGTGCTTCCGAAGGAAATGCTCTTGGGAAAGCATTTTCTGAACTTGGGATGAAGTCAGAGATTTTATCAGCCAAGCTGCAAAAGGAGGTAAATCTCCCATTTATTGGTGGCACACATTATTTTACAGGTTATTCACGTGTGCTTGCATGATGGTATTTGCATGTTATTGAAGGGTGAAAATTGAAAAGAAACTATCCTAATATGACTCTATCAAGCAGGCCCATCAGCTCTTGATGAATTTTGAAGAACCATTGAAAGATTATGTCCGTGCTGTACAATCTATTAAGGTAGGCGGGGTGATGTTTTCTTTCTTTCATTATTTAATAACTAAACTGACTAACTTGATTAAAATTTTATCTAATTTTTGGCTTGAAATATATTCCAATTGCCTTAGTAAACGGATTATTCAAATTTGGGAACCCTAAATTTTCTGCTCCTTGAACCGCACCTCCAAGAATAATGGGGTGAAATGGATTATTATGCCTTATTTCTTCAATCTAACGCTCTTGTTTTGCTTTCTGCAACAGGCAACGATAGCAGAGAGGGCCAATGCCTTCAGGAGACAATGTGAACTAGCTGAAACAATGAAGCTAAAGGAGATTAATCTGTATACTCTTGGTTCTCTGCTTTATTTTCGTAATTTAGTTTGTATGGCAGAATAATTCCTTTTTATTGTAAACATCATTGTGTCGCTGAATTAGCACTCATGATCTGTTGCATAGGGGGTCCTTTTTCCCCAACCAAAAACTCGTCTGTGTATGTGAATGCAAATAACGCCTATTTGCATCTTATATTCTGAAATATGTATAAATTTAGTTTATTCCTCCTAATTTGGCTGATGGGCTAAAAGATTGCTTGGTGTCTTATATGCTAATATGTAGTCTTGTTGCCATGTGTACGTGAATGCAAATAAGCCTTTCTTGTGTCTTGCTCTGTCTGGAATATGTATAAGTTCAATTTCTTTTTTCTTTTCTTTTCTTTTCTTTAATCCAGTTGATGGCTAGAACACTGCTTGATGTCTTGTATTATGATATATAATCTTTATTATTGTTTGGAATGCAGCGACAAGCTCATGCTGACTCGATCTGATAAAGTCGCAGAAGCTGAGCATGAATATAAAGAGGCAAGTTTGCTTATCAATTGACTTCCAATGATGAGAAATTATATATCCACGGTTTATTTGGCTGGACTGACATGATTTTGCCATGCAGTTGAAGGCAGAGAGTGAACAGGCAACAAAGACATTTGAGACTATTGTGAAATTAATGAATGAAGAGATAGGGCGTTTTCAGGAACAGAAAACATTAGATATGGGAATTGCTTTCCATGAATTTGCCAAAGGTCAGGCACGTCTTGCTAACGGTATTGCAGATGCATGGCGAAGCTTGCTTCCTAAACTGGAAGCATGTTCCTCCTCGTAGAGAATAATTAATGAGTACTGCAGAGCATAGAATGACGTACTCTTTCACGGTTTGTTACAGGGACTAGGGTTTGGCCGACACGTACGCAGCTCTTGTTTTGTAGAAGGGCTTACAGGAGTTATCTGTTATTTTATATTATGTTGTAAAAGATGTGATTTCCTCACCTCTTAATTTTGTACAAAAAGCTACGCCAACACCTTTTTTTTTTTTTGGACCACAAAAAGAACCATCTTTAGACATCACTAGGCTTCACAGAAAAAGGAAAAAAAAAATCAATTACTGTTGGGGTGTTCACCGACCTCGGGTCATACTTTTGTGTTTCAATCTGGTTTAATTAATGTCTTATTTAGAAAAGATATATATTTTTAAATAGTAAGAGATTTATGTACTCTAGGAATAGAATTTCGTTACTTATTTTGCTTAATTTTTTTAAGCACTCAATTTTATTAAACTATCAAATTATATTATATTATTTTTTATAATTAAACATGTTAAATTTTAAATAAATTAAACATTTATAGGTATGAAATTTTTTAGTTAATGTTTGCTTATAGAATTAAAAGTATACTGTGTCAAATTAATTGTTTTTATAAAATATTAAATAATTATTATGTGGTATTTTTTTTTTCAGTCCACCATATAACACACCAATCAGTTGCAAGTGGCAACTTCATCTCAGCATATAGGTTCATATATAATAACTTTTTAAGTCTTGATATTTCAGTAGCATTATGCTCTTCAGATTCATACGTCACTGGTAGTAGGATAATACCAAGACCTAATGAACTACTGTAGTGTTGTTAATGGTGTGACAATGCAAAAACTTTCCTTTTGACTAACGTCATTGATCTGTCTTTCTAAACATTTTCACACATCAAAGTTTTATACGTATAATATTTTGAAATCATTTGAAGAAATTCGAAGTGTTTATAGTCTTTTGCTTATACAACTAGAATTGTCTCAGCTCTACTCTATATTGGCTGCTACACTAACCATAATCATTATTTTATTCAAGAATGGAATAATTCTTTATTAAAAACTATTAAATAACATTTAAGCCGTTTTAATAAGATACGTGAGATCATATGATTTTATGACAAAAAAAAAAGTATGAGCCAAACAATTTATCTGATGTGGTTTTTGCTACATCAAGTATCACTTATCTAAACGATAATGTTATTAAAAATATTTTAAAAAAATAAAATTAGATGTTATATGTAAGTGAGATGATACTCTTTGTCATGTTAACACGTGGCACAGATGTTTAGAGTATTGTCCATAAAAAATAATAAATTTATTGAAAAAGAAAACACTTATTATATTAAGAATTAGAAGTGTAATAAATGATATATTTTTAATAACAAAATAATATTTTTAAATACTTAAAACTCAGTCTTAACAATTATAATTAACTATTTTTCAATTAAATTATTGTAAATCATTTACTATAACCATGATAACATAAACGGTAAGAATATGCCTGAATTCAAAATGAAACCAAAGAAAAATATCAATAAGAGAAAAAAAAAGGAGCTTTAATCTCTTAATATAAAAAATGAATAAAGTAGTTCGAGGAAGAATGTAAAAACTTTAATAAATTCTCAGTTTAATTCAATTCACAATTCCGTTAACAACTCACCTCAAATGACAAACAATCAAGCATAATTGATGATATAAGAAAAAAAGGATTTTGCCCATATTTAGAAAATGTTAAAAAAATCAGAATACAATATTATGAATAAAATCACTAATATTTTAACAAATATGTTGTAAATAAAGGAAATTAACAAATAATCTCATTATACTTGTTATTTTTCTTAAGAATAGGAAAAATATAAACCAATTGATATTTTGAATTCTCTATAAGAAGTTTCTCTAGCAGCCATTGGTATCACACTTTGCATGATTAAAATAGTTTAATATTAAGATTAGAGTTTCGATTATTGACGAAAATGTATTTTTCACTTTAAGCTGGATTATTGATTATGATTAAGAAAGAAAGAAAAATTAAATTATACATACTAACATTTCCAACCAATAAATTATTTCAATAAGAATAAAATACAATCAATTATATGTAATGGAACCTTACCATGTTTGATTTATTTAATATTTCAAATTTTATCATTTTCAAGTTAGTGACAACAAGGAATTAACAATAAAGATTATTTTAACTCTCTTAAACTTGAAAATATATTGTAATCTCTAATTTTGGAGAAAAAAAAGTATGTAATGAAAACGTAATCAAGCATGAAATTACACATAGATAAATAATGGCACATAAATAAATATTTTGTTCCTTTCTATTGTATTTGTACAGTAAAACTAAAGCAATAATTTTCTACACCTACGTAAGATGGAGAAATATAAAAATAGAAAATCATAAAAGCAGCAAAATAAAATAGAAGTCTAAAAAATCTATTAAGAATGGAAAAAAAAAAACCAAAAAACACCATAGAAAAAAAAATGAAACTCAAAACTGAGATTATTATTGCACTATCGGAAATGAAAATATAAAAAAAAAAAAACCAAAAGTGAAAAGAGAGGAAAAACTTAAAACTAATTAATTAATATCTTATAAAAAATATATAGAACACTAATTTTTTGTACAATAAAAAATATGAAATAAAAAGTAAATATATACAATTTTCAAAATTAAAAAATTATATTTTTAACTTATTGAAAGATGAAATATAGGGATAAATTTGAAAAGTAAATAATGTTAAAAAATAAATATTACTTAATATGAAATATCTTACAAGTAACACGTGTCATTTTTCTCGTGGGTACAACGTCAATTCAAGTGGGGCATCTTTAGAGCCATTTCCTGCTTTTCCTCACACCAAGAATCTGGCAGATGAAACTTGAGCACAGAATTATATACAAAAAATCAAATGAAGTATTATCCACTAATAAATAAACAAATAAAAATAAAAATGATATATTATGATTGGCTCCCAACCTTGTACTATTGAGTAATGACCTTACCTTACCCAGTGAGAGAAGGGAAAGGCATGGCGATGGCGTTGAGGCAGAGCGTGAGCGTATACCCGAAGGCGAGTGCAGTGAATTTCCACGTCCCTCTCTCTGCCCCTTCCTTCATTCCTATCATTTACCGTAATCATAACACTGATAACAGCCACACCTACCCTTTTTCCGTGCTTCGTAACGCCATTCATCTCACGCCGTTACCCAGAGCCTCTTCGGCGAACGCATCTCCCACCAGCTATGACGATGACGACGACGGAGTCTCTCTCGGCACCATGAAGCTTCCTTTGGATACTGACCTTCAGAGATTCGATTCCTTGCTCTTTCAAGTAATTCTCTTCACTTTCTAATTCTACAATCGATGCAAAATTCATATATATATATATATATATATATATATATATATGTGGCCTTTTTTTATCCGTTTATTTTCAAAGAAATTTTGTTTCTATATATCTTTATTTAAAAATTTTAAGTAATAGTATTAACTACTTTCACATATATCATAAAGAAAACAAATTATGGAGGGTAAATTTTCAATTTTTAAAATAATTTTACTATAAATAAGAATATTAATTATATTTTTTATTCTGTATAATAATTTCACATATATCTTGCAACATGTTACATTAATTGACACAAACGGATAATAATAAACTATCTTTTGTATTTAATGTTTTTGTCACATTTTTTTATAAGAAATAAATAACTAATTTGATATGAGAATAATAAAAAAGACTTATATATTATGAATTTATAATGGATTTTAAAAATATTTATAATATTAAATAATTAAATTAAAAATTTATATATTAAATAAATAAATAATGAGTGAATACTTTGTTAATACAAATCTTAAAATAAATAAAATATAAATAAAATTTAACAATTAATGTATTTAGAAATTAATTTTTATTATTTATAATTAAAAAATTATGATAATTTTTTTTATAAAATTTTTTTGAGGGAGTAACTAACCTGTCTTTGGTTGTGTTGTGACAGTGGGCGAACAGCCTTTGCCAGGGAGCCAATGTACCACTTCCCGTGCCTCTCAAGGTTTGTTTAATTTCATTCTTTTCATTTTATGGTACCTCTCTATCGTGTTTCTGTCTGATCTCTGATTTGTTTATAATTTCACAAATAATTTGTTAATGTCTTGTGTAGTATAACTTAATGTGTGTAATGTATGTCCATTACCAATTGGATGGAATGGAAGCCACACTTGGTAGAGAATATGCATAGTACACTTCTCAAATTGTAAAATTTGCCTAGTTCCTCAGGTGCATTGTCGTTTAATTGCATGCTTCAGTTTTTTCTGAATGGGGTGCACCTAGTGACGGGTGGCTTGCATGGGAGCAGTGAGATCAAATGAATTTGATTGTTGCTTCTTGTCAAATATTGCTCTATGATGGCCTAAATTTTTATGCAGAAAATCTTGCTTTCTGCCCACATAATTTTTTTTTCCATTATTCTCAGTTGGACACGTTCAGTCATGTAATTTTAGATCATTCTTGCTAGAAATCTCTTTGGAGAAAATATAGATGACGGTTTGTTCATTCTCATAGTTAGTTCTATAGTTTCTGACTCTCTGGCTATTTGATTTGGTAGTCTCAAACTAGTAAAATACAACTCTGCTAAAAAACCATTATTTCAACATAAAAGAATCGGCACCATATATGATATTGTATATAACTGATTCTGTTTCTCATTTTAAAAACTTTTTTGTATACACCCATGTAAAAACTGTCACCACAGAATCAAAAGGGACAACTATTTACTTTTGTATTATTTTCCCTCTGCTAAATAATTTAATTATTTGAAATTAAAAACTTGACATTGTGTGTGACATTATATATAAACAGTCATTTTACTGCCATAACTATATGTCACTTTTGTGCTCGAAGTTCATGGCCAATAGAGAAGTGATTGGATCATTGCCATAACTGATAGTTCGAAACAAACAGTGAGATTTTAATTATAGTTGTTTGTAGATTATTATTATATATATATATAATTCTAGTCAGTAGTAACCACTACAATAAGATGATGCTGGTTCAACGGTTCTTAAAGTGTGTAGTAATCCTTATTTCAATTAAACAGGTGGACAAAATACCTGGTGGAGCTAGATTAGGTTTTATCACCATTGGAGATGGGAAAACAGAAGTTTTTGTGTATATTGACTGCTTGGTTTTTCCACCAACTGAAAAGTCTGCTCCAATTTTCCGTGCCATCAGAAATGGTCCCTTGAAGGATAAAGCACCACCCGGTGAGCCCAGAATCATGACGAGCCTTCTGCAAGCTCTTCAGAAGTCAGTTGAAATCGCCAGATTGTGATTTTTTTTTTATTTTTTTTTTGTTTGTTTGTTTCGAATGTTATTGTAAGGTTTGCAACCAGAAAAAGAGAAAGAAGTCTGAATTTATGTGTATATATTTATTCCAATTCATTAATCCGTATTTTATTTACCACTGAGGAGACCAATGTTCGTTTGAACTGTCAAGAAATTTCTGGAATCTCGAACTTTACTTCTATCTTGTGCATAATTTTCCAGGTTAGTTAATTTGCTAATTCGTCACTGCTACAATGTGCATTAAACATAAGAAACTTACAGATATTTTCATCATTTATAATACAAGCATGTGCAAACGCAATCAGTCGAGGAAACTACAACTGTACAAACAAGCATGTGCATTTCCATATTATGAATAAAGAATTGATTTGTTGATTACAAAATTCATACGAGTAAAGATCAAAGGGAACCTTAAAAGATTAACATTAGGCATTGAAATTTGAGAGAATGAGAAAGTGAGCAGTGATAAATACCTCGAAAGACAAAGTGATAAATACCTTGAAAGGCAAAATTCATACGATAAAATCCAGAGAAAAGAAAGTGAATGCTAACACGAGGATTGGTTGCGTTTGAGTGCCGTGAGGTATATATAAGCTTTCATTCTATGATATTTTTATTCTTTAACCAAGGAAAGTTATACGGCCCAGCCCATTTATAAGTTACTATTTTTTTTTAATATATTAGTCACAAATTGAAAAAAAAAATCACAGCTTTTATTTACTTTAAATTGAATTGAATTGAAACTGTCTTTCACAATGGTGTGTTTTATGAATATTTTTATAATTTTTTAGATGACAAAAATTATCAAGTATTTTATATTTCAAGAATATTACTATCTATTTTATTCAATGACATATTAAGTATTACAAAATAATTAAAATAAAAAGTATAACTTGTTTAAAATATTTTATGAAATTATGATAAAACTATTTATTTATTTATGTCACTTTCTTAGCAGTATTAATTTTTTTTTCTAAAATAAAACTATTGAAGAAAAGAAAACAATGTAAATTAAAAATAAAGTTAAATTATTTCTGAAATTGATTATCTGAAAATTTAAAATGATAACAAAAGCAATTAATTAAAAGGACAATAAATTTATCAAAACTAACTTTTGTACTTGTATAATGTATCAATTTATACAGTATGTAAAAGTTTTTGTCCTAGAAAAATTGTAATTGGCTCATTTGATTTTTTGAAAATAAGTCATCTAAATTTTTTCCTTTTTTTTATGCAGTTTTTAAATCAGTAATTTGTTACTTTTATATTATATAATTATTTAATATAACTTATATAATATGACATAAAGTTGATATGACATCTATACTTTAGTTTTTTTATATTTTTTAATCTCAATTTTATAAGTCTTAATTTTATAAGGTGAAATTTATTAAAAAATATGAAAAGTTTTACGTTATTAATAACATATTTTATTTGTATTATATTTCAGTTAAATTATATGACCAATTCAAATATTATGTAAATAAATTATAAAACAGGTTAATAGATTACTAATAGAAGGATCAAATAAAAAAAATATTTTTGAAGAAATTTATTAAAGAAAATTTAAAAGGATAAACCAAATCAAAAATTATGAATTTTTTGAGAACTAAAATCTTATCTAAGCTTATCTTTTTATTATATTATTAATTATTTAGAATGTATTAATAACAATATTAAATATTTTTTTTATTTATATTACACTATTATTAATTATTTAAAATGACATTGAAATGATAATTTAATTAATTTTTAAATCAAAATAAGATTTATTATTATTTTAAATCTTTTAGTATTTAAAGGATTTTTTTGTCATAAGTATTTAAAAGAGCATGTTCATATACAATATAAGTCTTTGAAATTTTTTAAAATAATTAAAGTATTAAAATTCATTTTAAAAACTTTTTGTGCACATTTTAATACTTTAATTTTTTATATTATAAAAATCACAACATATGCATAAAAACTGAATAAAAAAATTAATTGTATCTATCTACTCTCACAAAAAAAAAATTAACTCATAATGTTTACTTTAATTTAATACTGATGTCCAACAAAAAATATTAAAGATATATTTTTTAATAAATTTAGTTTCTTAAAAAGAAAGTCAAATGAACCTTAAGGTAAATAAATATTATTTTATAATCTTCTATTTATCAATTTTGAAACTTTAATTAAATCAAAGATTTAGTTAATAATTGTTTTTATTCATTAATTACTATTATCAATTTTAATATATTTTAATGAATTTAAAGTATCTAATTTTCTTAATTCATAAATATACAAATATTTGATTCATAGAATTGTATCATTTTAGTAATGAAACATACAAAATTAAATTGGATAAATTATGTTTTGATGTGAATTTTATTAAGAACTATAAAGATAAATTTATATGTAAGTAAGAAATATTAAATAGGTATTATACTATTGTATTTTTTATTTTATCTTTTTAATATATACATATTATATATATATATATATATTACTTTATTGAAAGTTTATTTTTTAAAACTAATTATAGAAATATAAAAATTAAGTTTAGAATATTAAAATTATATATATATATATATAGATCCAATAAATTAAAATTTAATAAAAATAAACAAATAAAATTATGGAAAAATGTCCCATATGTAATTTTGTCGTAACCCCTATTTCTGTAAAAGTTATAAAAGTTATAACTATATTTTTTACTAATTTTTTTTAAAAGATTACAAAATTTATGTAGATTTTATTTTTTTTATTTTTTATTTAATATTTTTTATATTTTTATAATAAATTATAATAATAATTAAAAGTGTAGCATATGTTTACTTTTTTTTTTTTTTATTAGCAAGTTATCATTTTTTAAAACGCGTAAGCGTAAGGGGTAATCCATCAATCGTAAGAGTTAATGTGGGAGGGAAAACTATCGGTGGCAATTGGTACATCACATGCAATTGCACGTGGTTTTGTAGTGAATCTAGTGATGTATCATCCAATGCACTGGGCCACTTTCAACCATTCATAAGCCCTTCTCAAGTCTCAATCCACATTAACTACTTTCCTTTCTTCCATTCTATCAACTCAAAGTCAAAACAATGACTACTTCTTCTCTCTATCCTCATTTCCTGGCCTCCACCATTCCTCATTTTCCCTCATCCTATAAGAACTCCATTTTTTGTGCCCCCTTCAAAGGAAACCCCAAACAATTCACTTTTTCCAGAGGCACAAACCTTTTGCAATTGCCGTCATGGATAACTGCATGCACTTCTTCAAAGGATGCAGGCCCCGGCGACAACACACCAAGGTTGTAAGTCCTAGGACTTTGTAATTTCGTTGTTTCTTATTTAGTGCCCATTTCGTTTAAAATTGAGTAGAATTGAATTTGGATCATAAATTTGATTGTGACTTTGTATAAATTAATCTGAATCGCACGTTTTTGCTAGAATGTGTGTTTTTAATTGAAAAACAAGAGAATTGAAACAAATGCTACTATGTTCTTTGAATTTTGACTATTGGGTGTCTTCAAATTGATTGTAATGTGAAATTCCGCAATTGGTTTGAGCAAAAAACACTCTTTTTTGTATCAGCAACTTTTGCATTATTGAGGGGCCAGAGACGGTTCAGGATTTTGTTCAGATGCAGCTGCAGGAAATTCAAGACAACATAAAGAGCCGGCGCAATAAAATCTTTCTTCTAATGGAAGAGGTTAGCTTATAGTGGCACTTCAGCACACCTTACTGGGTGTTGTATGGAATAGTGTCAATTTTTGTCCATAAATGATAAATCATGGTGACATACATTTAATACTGAGCATTGAGTATGGCAGGTGAGGAGATTGCGAGTGCAGCAGCGCATAAGAAATGTACAAAAGGCTGAGAGTGACGAGGGAGAGGAGGAAGCAGATGAAATGCCAGATATTCCATCATCAATTCCTTTTCTTCCTTATGTGGTGGGTCTCAAAACCTTGTTTCTATAATAGGGGTATTGGTGTTGATTGGTGGAATTAGGAGAGAAACATATTGCGTAGTACTGGGAATTCTTTTGTGACAAATTATTCCAATAAAGTATTGAGGAAGCTGATTAACAAGATAGTCTAATCATTTTAACACTCAAACGATCACTTCGTTCTGGAACAGGATGATACACTAAGGTTTTTCACACTTGTAGGAAATTTTTGTAAATCACTAGTGTTTAGCTTCATTTATTTTATATTGTCCGTACCTTAGTAACCCTTTTGTTTCCCTTTGAAATGATTGATGCAATTGAAGTAAAGCTGAGACATTTGTCATTTTTGTCTCCTCTAACTGTATGCTTTTCTTATTGGAGTAGACGCCCAAGACTTTGAAGAAGCTCTATCTAACAAGCATATCATTCATATCTGCAATAATTGTATTTGGTGGGCTTATTGCACCGACGGTAATTTCATTACATTATGTATTTAATTCTTTTTTAATCTATAGCAGATAATCAAACTCTATTGTTTAATCCCTTGAATGGCTCTATTTATTATTATAGGGTTCTGACATCCGATATTACCCTTATAAGGGATTATTGTATTCTATTTAAACTGGCTCTAATTGTGGTGTTGCACCATCGAACTTTGAGTTTTATTCTTCCATTACAATGTCCACTCATACTTTTATGGATGAATATCCTACTATAATTTGGTGCATGCTTTAATGCTTCTGTAATACTGTCTTTCTATGTTGATTTTTATTTGAAAGTGATGACTTCTACCTTTTACATTGTATAAAAAAATTAAAATGGAAAATACTTCTATCTTTTAAATGAGAACTATTTCTGTTCTCCATTACTGTTCCTTTTCATCTTCTACCAGGACAGAGGAAGCCTTGTGGATTGTGGAATGTGGAATATTCTTTTGTTGTGACAAGTTGTATTTTTGGGAGCAAGTTAAGTTTTAGGGACATGTTTAGATATGCCAATGACATGAATTTAAGATACTTCCTGCCCAAGAGCAAATGATTAAAGATAAGTGGCTATCGACTTCTCTTTAAGTTTTAAAGTATAGGATCTTCTTGGGATGAGGTGTGTTTATTTATGTAGTATAAGAAGACCTAGATTTCTGAAATTGTAACTTTTGATGAAATGATCCCATAGTCAGTCCAAGCTTGAGTAAAGGAGGCTGATTGTGTTAGGCCTTCAATAACTAATGTAAAACGTGTTGAAACTTTTTACATGGATTACGCATGATGATATTGTACTAGGGTTAGGTTGTTACTCAAAAGTAACTTGTTGTATGACTTAAGTACAATGTTAAATGAGTAAGAGTTGTTGCATCAGTGCTCAGATGTAGTGTTAAATGAACAAGTGTCCTCACATTTGGCTAGACTAATGTAGATAAAGAGGTTAATTCAAGAATGCGTGTTTAGTTTTGGTTCATAAAATATTGATACTTTGATAGAAAAACTGTTAAAATGTTGGTACTTAGGGATCTATTTTACAAAATGATGGCGAAATTAATGAAAATTACTTATAGAATATAAGTTGAGTGGTTAAAGTGAAGAAATGTGTAAAGAATTATTTATGATTGTAAAATCTTTATTAAGCTTAAAGGGAAGTTTTTGTATTATAATATGAATAGTTATCCTATATGGTAGTAAATGAGTGGTCACATGAGGAAGAAAAAAATAAAAAAGAATTGTACATGCAAGAATATTGAAATTGCACCTTTAGTGAAAACGATGACTAAAAATCATCTAAGATAGTTTAGTCATGTGCAAGAAGACCATTGGAGACATTAGTGAAGAGAGTAAATGACATTACTTTTATCTTGGTAAAAAAGGTAGAGAGAGACGAAAAAAAAAAAACTTTAGAAAAAGTTATTAAAAAAGATCTATTGATTAATAATATTTTCTAAGAATTTGATTTTTAACCAAACTCAATGGTGTTGTGTGATCGATCTAGCTAATCTTATTTAGTAAGATAAAACTTAGTTGTTGTTCCATAAAAAGAGCAATCTTGAGAGTGAAAGCATTGAATTACCTGATTTGCACCTTTACCATTGAGTGATCTTATAAAAGTAATTTTAGTCACTTTGATAGCATTTTATGTCGTTTTGTAGCTTTCTAGCATTATTGATTTGGCTGAAAGTTATATATCTTTTGATTCATTTCAAGTATTGACTCTTGCTTTAATGGCAGCTGGAGCTAAAATTAGGTTTAGGTGGTACCTCATATGAAGATTTTATAAGAAGCATGCATTTGCCTTTGCAACTAAGGTATACTGTTCTTTTGATCTGTTTGCTTTATTAATTTGCAATTTCACTTGGGCAGAAACTGTTCTGTTGATGAATAGAAGAGTTGTTTGATCAATACCTGATTCTGATTCCTGACTACACCTTGCTTCATGAATCCAGCCAGGTAGACCCAATTGTGGCCTCCTTTTCAGGTGGGGCAGTTGGTGTGATTTCAGTACTGATGTTGATTGAGGCTAACAATGTTGAGCAACAAGAGAAAAAAAGGTGCAAGTATTGCCATGGATCTGGTATGCTCCTACTCTTTGAAGATCTTCATGATCTTCATATATCTCATTCTTTTCTTTCTATTGATTATGGATTTATTCTGTTTAGTAGAGTGAAACTTATGATATTATTATTTCCCTTAAATTTTAATCATTTGGATATGTATGCAGTCAGTTTGCTGTTCAATCTGGATAACATATTGTCAGGATGATTTTTTTAACTTGAATTTGACTGGAAAGCATTCAGAAATATTTTTGATGGCTTAATAAGGATCTGTCACCAAATCTAAAAAATTATATTAGTTAAATTCTTGTTATGAATTTTGAGTCCTTTAAAATTTGTTTGTAATTCTGTTGACAGGATACTTAGCCTGTGCTCGGTGTTCTGCGAGTGGGGTATGCTTGAAAATTGATCGTATTTCAGTATCTAGTGGTTCTGTAGGACCTCTGCATTTTCCTACAACGAAAAGGTGTCCAAATTGCTCTGGTGCGGGAAAGGTACACAATCTGGTGACACTTTTAATTCATTTGCTTTTTTTCAGCCTTATATATACTTGAAACTTTTATTTTTAACTGTGAGTGCCTAACACATATATGTGATTGTATAATATATTTGGTTGCCAATTAATTCACCTATTGTAACATCAAACGCTGACTTATTCTCCCTCCCTTTGAAGTTAAAAAAAAAAAAAAAGTCGAGTTCATTTGGATGCATAATAAATATTGTTGCATCTGCGAATATAATTTTGCAGCAGATTAATGTTAATTGTAATTAGTAGTCTTTATTTAATTATCTTCCCTGCCTTGTAGGTTATGTGCCCAACTTGCCTTTGCACTGGGATGATGATGGCAAGTGAACATGACCTTCGTATTGATCCATTTGACTAACTCTTCACATGATTTGAGAGCTTGTGATGTTGCTCTAAATGTATTTAAAATTATGAACTCCATCTCGAAAATTCCCTTCTCCAAATTTAGCATTATTATTAATATATATATAAAGAATTAAGCTAAAATGGCAACATTTTATTCTGCAAAAAAATTGTCCTAAATTCATCAACTGATATGATGTTAATCTTTCCCTCCGGGTGGATAATGGCAATATTCTTTGTATATAAATCAATATAGTTGTTATTTATGTGTGGTGTAGGCAATTCATTCAGTTAACATCAGTGTTGCTTCTTGTGATTTGTAGTCCTTTGCTCATTCTATTCAGTAATTATTTTTTAAATGGAAATTTGCTTCTGCCTTGGAGCAGTTTACATTTCAACCTTTTCATTCTACAACTAAATTTGATAGAAATGTATGTCTCCGTTCAGTTTCAAGTCACAGAAAATTCTCTCACATTTTAATAAAAAATAAACATTCAGATTAATTTAAAAGCACATCTTAATTACATTCAACAGTTTAAATTAAATTTACTTTAAATCAATTTTACCAACCTATTCGTGTCCTTAGAAAGTGTTGGCCTCACTGTTTGGAAATGCAATTCATTCGGTTTCTACTTGCCCGTTGCCATCTTCGTGAGATTCGCAAAAGAAACGCAATCACTTAATTATACATTTCATACTTCTAACTTTTAATGAGAATTGAGATATCAGGATTCCCAGCATTTACTAAAAATCCTACCGTAACATATGAAAAAGAAAACTCATAAACTTGTGAAATTTCTTCGTTGATTCGTGTGACTTTCACATTACAACTATGGTATATATAATTTTGTGGAACAATTTAGGCATAAGACAGTTTGGCCGAGTGGTCTAAGGCGCCAGATTTAGGCTCTGGTCCGAAAGGGCGTGGGTTCAAATCCCACAGCTGTCATTAAAATTTTTTAATTAGTCTCAAATTTTGGGCCTTTTTTGGTCAACAAAAAGGCCCATCACAATAGACAGATACTTATTTTCTCGATTTACAACATTCAAGAATGTACTTTTAATTGAAAGAATGTATAAAATAAAAAATATATATTTACTATTGGCTTGAATCAAAGTACCTTGTAAATTGAAATTTACATAAACGACATATACTTATTTCCTCTATTTTCATGCATCACTTTAGAGGAATTAAATCTGGTAAAATTGTTTTTACAGTACAAAAAGAAAAAAGACCAATGATTATCTTAATTGTACGTAAACCAAATAATGAGATCCGTATCGATTTCCCTGTCGTAGAACTAATTAGAAGCTTTTGCATTTTTTTTTGCTACAAGCTATATAGCAAGTTTACAACGATAAATTAATCACAATGAAAGTAGACTGTAATTTTACATAAATTTTAGGGAAAGTTATCGTCATAACTCGTGAGCTTTAACAAAATTCCATTTAATATTTTTTTTCTAAACAAATCTCACTTAATTTGTGTAATAACATCACATCATATGTCCTTGATTATACAAATAATTCCTGATTTCTTGTGCAGTTATACTAGTAAAAAATATGTTAAAGTAATGTAAAGAAAAGAGTGTCGAGCAAAATATTGTTAAGTCATAGAGTTTAAATGTAATTTGTCCTAAATTTTACATATAATGTCAGAAATTAAAAATTTAAAGTTGTTAATTTGGGGAAATTTTATCTGGTCATCATTAAAGGGTTCAAAATTACTTGAGTAATTGCTTGTGAAAAAAGAGTTGCAAGTTTAAATTAGAAGCCAATGCAGAGTCAAAACAAATTGGTTAAGAAATATTGAATTATTATATATCTTAAAACATTGTTCCTTGTATTCCGTCAGTTGCATTTTTTTACCAAAAGAACTTGAGTCTGATTCCAGTTTGATGTTTTCTAAATATATTTAAACCGCAAGTTCAAATTATTTTTTAAACTTAATCCAAGAACCAAGATTAATATGATGCGATATAAAAATGTATTCTTGCACTTATATATATATAATTTATTAAAATTACTAGCTCATACGTTAAAATATCGTTGACGTGAAACTAAAACCAGTATACATCAATGTAGCTTCACGTGCTAGTGACAAAAGCAGAGAAGGCTAATAGTTTAACATGTTATTGTAGAAAATAAGAGAAGAGGTGTTATTTTCTACTTTATTCAAATTGATTTGTAGGGTTAATTAGTTTATATGAGCAGATTTCATGCTCCACGCTTTCAACTTTTCCACTTTGATTTGCTCTTTACCATTGTTGAACACAAACAAGTGAGCTTTCTTCTTCACTGCTAGCGTTGGATAAACCCTAGACAAGATGTTTGTTTTTCCTCCGGCTCCAAAACTCTCCACTACGGAGTTATCAATCTGCCATTACAGAGAAAATATGAATACCAAATTTTAAACAACTAATAATATTACAATTTTATTGAAAAATAAATATTTATTATATTTTTATATATTTTTAAGCTGAAATAAACAAAACTTGTAAATTAATTATATAGCATACGGTGGTGCTTGGAGCTCATAAATATGTATTAGTTATAGGGTTTTATTAATATTAACTTGTTTGAAGTAATTAAAAATATTTTTTATTAAAATAAATAATTTTTTAATTGCTTACAATAAGTCGTAACAACTTTAATAAAGAAAAAAAATGCCACCAAATGGGGGAGTGTCATTTTGCACTTACCAAACTCCTAAGAGAAAGTTTCTTATTGGTTAAATCCACGTCTACAAAGCCTGCAAATGATGGCTTGTACAATTCTCTCTTCAAAGAAGAACTATTGACAAGTGCAAAATTAAAGTTAGAAAACATATGCAAAGATTCGAGAAAGCATTTCTAGTTTGTCGACAAACCTTCTTGCATCGGAGCACATGAGAACCACGTGCTTGTTTGGAGCTTTGAAAATTCTGAAGAACACAGGAGTAAATTCCTCCAATTTTTCTGAAGCCAATGTCAAAAGCCCAAATGGCCCAACCCCACCTTGAACCTTTGAACCCTTTTGTGCACACAGATCCTGTGCATTCACCCACCTTGGATCAAATGTTTCTGCCTTGTCCAAGCTTGAGAATGAGAAGACAACTTCCACATCAGCCTGCAATAATATATTGATATTATGTGCATGTCATTTTAATCTGTATTATGATGCCTATTTCTAACTTACCTCATTTTAGGTAGACTAATGAATTTTGTCTATAAAAAATTAATATAATGTCTTAATTTCACTAGTTCACTTAAGATGAGGTTATTATTATCCCATATGATGGATACCTCATAATAATTACTGGAAGTTGAAGTTACACATTAGTTATTAAGCTGACCTGGGCAGCGGTAATCCCTTTAACTTCAACATAATCTCCTTTCTTAAGCTTTTGGTTGCTCATTCTCACTTCTTTCTCTCTAAGACTGTTTAATTCTTTAACAGGCCATTGCACCAACTGTCTCCCACTTGAATCAAGCCAAACGGTTCTCGGAATTGCCTAGAAATTTAGACATAGAATAAGTAAACTTTGAAGAGAAAAGAAGTGTCATTGATATAACGCATCCCAGTTATGATGTTAAAAAAATGTATTAAGCAATTACTAGGAAATAGAAATAAAGGTAAAATTGAACTTCATATTATGGTAACACAAATTTAATTCCATGCACATAATAAATTACCAGAATTCCTGCCCATCCTTTCTTAACATCGTCCTCTTTGGAATCTGATTCGTTTGCCCAGGCCCACACAATCCTCCGATTCTTGCTTGGGTCAAAGAATGACTTGGAAGCATAAAAATTGCCATAATCATATCTAAGGCCACCCCAACCATCCTCAGAAGTGTTATCCGGGATATACCTATCCTTATTGCTAAGGTACGTTCCAACCGTATAATAATCATACCTTGTCAAATCAAGGCTATTCTTGAGAACATGCTTAACACTATTCCCAATCACAGACGTGTCCAACCCATATTTTCCTTTCAAAGAAACCGGGTAAAAATCCGGACACTCCCACAAACCCGTTGATGGAGCTGAGTGGATCGGGTGCTTTGCTTGGATCCAATTCAAAAAATCCTTGCTTTTATACAAAAGGGCCACTCCTCTATTTTTCCTTTTACCGCCAATTAACATCCTCCAATTACCATCCTTGCTCCACCATGCGGTGGTTGGGTCGCGAAACGCGCTAGCATTCATGCCGGGTTTTGCCACCACAATTGGATTAAAGGCATTGGGCTTAACCCATTTTCTTAAAAACGGGTCGGATGCATCCTCGGGTATGGCATAGCATTGGACTTCATTCATATGCTTGTCAACAACTCCAGTGTATAGGATCACGGGTCCTTTACCCGGCAGTATAGTGACCGACCCGGACCAGCACCCGTATTTGTCAAAGGGTTTGGATGGGTAAAGGGCGGTTTCAAGTTCTTTCCAATTGATGAGGTCCTTCGATACTGAGTGACCCCACACAATGTTACCCCAAACTGCTCCTTTTGGGTTGTATTGGTAAAATATATGATAGATTCCATTGTAGTACATGGGAGCTGAGGTGTTAGCATTGAAGGGAGTTATTGCATGCATGGTACAAGAGTAAGGCATCAGTAAATATTGGTCATTAAAAAGTGGAAAGAAAATGAAAAAGGGAAAAAAATCAAAGTCAACTGTAAGAAATAACTCACTCACCATTTGGATCTGCATGTGTAATGATCGATCAATGCAAGTGTACGTTACACCGCGATCAGATATCATGAAGGAATCAGAAAGCAAAAAATATTAGCTCTTCATCATGAAGGAAAACGTTAGTTATGAATTTTAATGGAAATAAGCACAATGTTTAGCATTACCAAGTTCTTAAGAATTAATTTGCTACCTCCTAATTCTATTGTAAAGATATATTTGGCCAGTGCATTTTAGAAGATAAAATTAAGACGGTAAAAATTTTATATTTAATTATACATGTGCGTGATAATGTCAATTAATATATTAATTTTAAAATTAGTGATGATTAATTCTTCACTTTAAAAGCTAATTAAATCAGCAAACTTTATTAGTTAATGGTTAGAATTTCACTCTTTACTCTCTAACGTGCATGGGAGTCGTATTTAAAAGGGTTATATCAATAGATCTATAAATTAGAAGATTAGATTTTTACAGCTGAATGTTTGTTATATGTATAGTTATGTGTACTTGCAAACTTTATGTCAAATTTAATTGTTAATTTCAGTCAACATTAAAAGATAACACATATTAATTTGATATAAAACTGGATATCAAATAACCACTTGTTAATTGGAAGGTGTATTATATACTATTGAATTCATTTTCTGCTCATCAACAACAAATAAACCCCTTAATGATTATATTTTATCACAGTAAGGAAAATGAAAAAAAAAAATTAGTGGAATTGAAAAAATAATTTTTTAATTATAAAAATATTATCATAGCTTTGTTTTATATATGTTTTTAAATATTTTTAAATATAATAGTGAAAATAATTTAAAAAATATTTTTGTAATAAAAATAAAATTTTTATTAAATTAAAAAATTAATATTTTCTTAAAAATAATGTTTCAAAAATGTTTTTTAATCAGTTTTACTTATTATTTTTCTAAATAATTATAAAAATGTCATTTTCTATTTTTTTTATTTTAAAAAATTATATTTAAAAGATTGAAAATAAAATAAAATTTAAAAATGCAAATAATTTCATTTTTTATTATTTTAAATAAAAATATTTTTTAAACTGAATAAACACTTATTTACATAAGGTAAAGTTGTATTTGTAAACAATAAAACAATCTGATTTTTTTATACACCAAAAGGGTTGCTAGTAACATGATCAGAACAAATCAAAAGGTAGAACATTTTGAATAAGCAAATAATTTAAGTTAAAGAAGAACAAGTATGCGTTTCAATTGTACTTGGAAGGGCTGAAGCCCTGAAAAAGTTGATTTATGCATAAACGACGACTTGTAAACGCGAGTCAAAATATGCTACAAACTGTGAACATGTACCGTTTCCGTTACGTTTCTCACTAAGAAATGGCACTGCATGTGCTCTGAACCGTCTAAACTCAGCACGTTAATTTGTATCCACTTCCATGTGGCTTAGAAGAATATGGAAGAACAGCAAACAAGTTCATGACCGTAAATGGTAAGACTGAGGTAAGATTAAAAGTGACCAATATATGTTTGTGAAGCAAGTTATATGACATATTCAGCCAATTCATAGATAAAGCATATGCTGGTATTTTCCATATTAATGCAAGTTAGTCCTTCATCTCCATGTGTGTGAGTGTTCCATGACTCCCAAAAACATTGGCAACGTGGAGGCTATGGAACTAAAGACAAGAAGGTTCCAACAATTTGATAGGAGTAGGGTGGGATAGACCACTCTCATTTCTCAGCATTGCAGTTTGGAACATATTGGCCACTCTCAAATCTTCGAGTTACAGGGTTCATAATTACTGACCGATCATTCATATTTTAGCACAAAAATGTACATGATAGAAAAAGGTACATGCGCACTAATTAAGTGCGAGCAATAATATTAAAAGATGAGTAATGTTTTTTAGTATCACTAAAAGAAATATCTTGAAGGTGTCTTTTTATACTTAAGATGCACTTGTAATATACATACATATGAAAAAGGTAAAAAAAATCAAAATCAAAATCAAAATCAAAATATGCTATGATGTATATGATTTTAATTTTTAATAGTAAAAGTCATAGTAAAATATAATATAGCATAACTTGGGTTATATTTTCCTCTTCTTACAATGACATCTTTGTAGTTATATAAAAAGGTAACTTCCGTAACCTTTACTTTTTCATTTTTGGCATATATATTCAAGCACCTGACTTAGTGTAAAAATCATATCAATGTCACTATCTTCGTTTTTCCAACAAAGTCTGATATGCCACTACAATCCTACGGAGAATAAAGATGAAAAACTATTCCATGAAAAACACAGATCATGCCAAGCCAGATTCTCAAATCTACACAGCACTAAAACACAAGTTTTAGCTTGATGCCCTGTAGAACGAGTTCGGCTTGCATGATTGTGGAGTCAACTAGAAGGTCATGCAAAAGGAATAAGCTTGGGCTCATGTATATAATTTTCATCCAATTATAAGTGTCCTACATTGCTAAATTAACAAAATCCTTTTTGCGTAACTTTACGAACGATATTTTAGAATTGGACAACTCATGTTATTATTATTTTCATTAAATAATGTGATAACGTGTCATTTGATGATATGTATACAAAATAAATTTTATTTACGTACTCAAGCTTTCATGTCCCAAACTTTTTTATTGTTAATACTCAACAAAATTTGGGTTAATGACACAGCGTTCTCAAACCAAGAATGGATGTGGTGTTCAAAAGCAAATTAAGAGAGTTATAATGTTAATTTTGCCAAGATTTCATAACTCGTTTCTTTATCTTTATTTATTTTGTGCGAGTTCAAATTTGAATACCTTACTGAATAGTATGAAGGTAGATACCCAGGAATACTGCTGAACACCCATCTCAATATTATAATGTCGACATTATTATGAGGGAAACTACTTCAATATATATACATAACACTTACACTTAATTTAAATATTTTATTTAATTTAAATCTAACCGCTAATAAAGTAATAAATTTATATATATATATATATATATATATATATTATCTTTATGATAAAACAAATTAGTTTTATTAAAATCATCACATTGAAAATATTGAAGTTATTATAATAACAAAATTTAAAGTTATTTGGTAAAGTATGGTTAAAAAAGTATTTTGTAATTTCTTATTTTAAAGTGATTTAATAATTGAATTTTGTTAACTTAGTTTTTAAGTCTGAGTTTAAATATTTAAAAATAATAAATTTTTATTAAAAAATATATTCATTATATTAAAGTTATAAAACTGTAATTAAATTATTTATTTTTTAGTAACATGTTAATATTATTATGTATTCAAGCTCAATTTTTAAGGGTTGAAGTTAACATATTTTTAAATAATCTATGACAAATAAAAAGTACTTGAATAAAACATAAAGGGAGTAGCGAATAACAAACTAGAAAAAAAAAAAAAAAAAAAACAGGAATCACAAAAGAAAATTGCACTTAAAAATACATCGTAGGGAGAGAGAAAAGGTGCATGAACAAGGAACTCAAAACGTTACCGTTGATCCAGTTCCTGCGAGGTTGAAAATGGTATCCAGTTCTATGAAGTTTGCTCACAGAACGCACTGAAATGGATTGAAGATTTGGGTATATGTCATGAAACGCTTCAACGCCGTCGTTACATATCACACTACAAAGGAAGCAAACTACTATAACGGTGAGGCAATTTGTGAGAGCCATTAGAATAAATCATAAAACAATATATGAAGAGAGAACGGGAGATTGTGCACTAAGAGAGGCATCAATTGCCCTTATTTATAGAGAGAAAGGTAAAGGAGGAAGGAGGTAAGGGTAGATAAAATTAGGCCATGTACAAGGACTTTAATACCAATGACATGTTTTTTTTAGAATTATTAAATTATATTTGATTTGGTTCGAATTAAATTTAATTAAGTTTATATGATATAGACATTAATTCTTATGTTTAGATTTTATTAAAAATGAATTTTAAGTTGGGTTACGAATCAAATTTTATAGTCAGACTATATTAGATTAGTTGAGTTAAATTTATATTATTATTCTAATGGTTATTTAATATTGGATATATATAAAGTATCTTCTCACACCAGTGTAATAAATTTAAAAATTCTTACACTTAATTTAAATTTTTTATTTAACTTTCATCTAGCGGTTAGTGAAGTAATAAATTATAACTCATTAGATATAAGTTAAATGAAAAGTTTAAATATAGTGCAAGAATTTTTAAACTTACAATGGTGTAAGAAGATTTTGTCATATATATATATAATTTTAAAGATAAATTCTTTTATATATACTATCATTGTCTACTGCTTAGCTAATAAAAAAATAACAATTTATTATTATTATTATTATTTATTTAAATTATAAATATTTTTTACATGAGACAATTTTATTTAAGTTAGATAAAGTTATTTATAGAAAATAAAATTCTCTTATTGAATGTTATCGTAGTTGCATATTCAAGATTCTAATTCAACACCTTTATTTATTTATTTGAAAGTCAACATAAAGTTTTCAACGCAATTTCTTTTTGTGAACTAATGAGGATTACGCTGTTATGTGTTATTTACAGTTATGTTTTAATAGTGTTATCTTTCTAAGTTTCTCTATTATTTTTTTAAATTAACTAATATTGATAATTCTTTTAATTGTCACAATTATCATGCTTTTTAGATGTTATAATGAACGTGATAATTAAAATAAACTGGATTTTAAAAAAATTCAATCACATGACTAAACATTTTTAGAAGGAACCTCTCCAATATTAAACATTTTTAAAAAAATGGGAAAAGTAATATAATGAAATAAAAATAAATAAATGTACTTGTTAAATCTGATTTCGGTGGCCTGAGGTATTTAGCTTGATAAAGTCAGTGTCACCGACTTAATAGTAGAGCTACTAGTTGATTTTTTTTTTCTTATATAATTTGAGTTTGAACATTAAGATGCTTTAAAGGGAGAGTTTGATTTTGGAAATTTTTAATTATTTATTTTTACTTTTAATTATAAATATATCAATTTATTTTTGTTCTGTTTTTAGAAATTTATACAAAAAATATAAAAAATAATTTTTTATTTTTACTTTTATGTATAAATTTTTAAAACAAAAAATAAAATAATAGTTTTATAATTAAAATTAAATGTAAAAACTAAAATAAAAATATTTTTTAAACCAAAAAGCTAGTGACATTGAAATAGGTTTCTCGTAAAACTAAAGTCGTACCGATGATTTCAGGATGTGAATCTTTTGCAATTTTAGCATAAACTGCGCCATACAATACATTTTTGCTTAAGCAAATTTTGTTTCCCTTAAGTAAATTTAACAAAAAGTGATTTTGATTTAAGCTAAAAAAATTAGTTTAAGCGAATTTAGTAAAAAAAGTAATTTTCGTTTAAGCTAAAATTGCAAAAAATTTCAAAACTTCATCTCCTTTCTCTTTAAATTACATAAAAGTTGAGAAATATTTGTGCAAGATCATGTAGTCATACTTTATGATCATATAACAAAAACTTAAATGTTTCAAAATATGTAATATCACAACTATTTCTCAACTAATTTCTCAAAGTTACCATTCATATAATCCTTATCATCATTCTCAATAATTTAACTTGATTTTAAATGGTTCTACCTCACTAATGTTTAGCACAAGTAACACACTAGACAATACATTTAAAAATATTTGTGTAAGATCATGTGGTCACACTTTATGGTCATAATACAAAAACTTAAGTATTTTAAAATATGTAATAATGCAACTATTTATCAATCAATTTCTGAAAATTATCATTCCTATAATTTTTATTACCATTCTCAATTGTTTAACTTGATTTCAAATGGTTCTACCTCACTAATGTTTAGTGTTTGGAGGGTAAGTGTATCCATCAAAAAATAAAATTAATACAGGGTTCTTAAATTAAGTTCCCGAAATATCGTCCCACAAGAATTAATTTCCAATTACTAAAATTTTTCTAATTCAATTATTTAAGCTTAAAAGATACGAGATTAATTAAAAACACGAATTTATAAAATTAATTATAAAATTAAGAGAAAGGAACATAAAGTATGTCTTGGTTACACTTATCAGATAAAAACCTAGGGCGTATGAGTGTTCTCATTCAATCATTTATCTTATTTTGCTGTTTTAGATCTAAACCCGAATTCCTTGTGATTACTAATCATTCATACGAATACTATTAATATTCACTGGTCATGCAATATTAATATTCTTTTCTCTAAGTTAATATCCCCAATAGTCATGCAAGTTAGCAATTTAAAGAAAGTCTAAGGAACCTATGAATTTGTTAATTCAATAACGATTGGAAGAGGAAGATTGATTTAGTCTACCTAATCTTTCATCTCTATTTATCCTATAAACCTATTAATTAATCGAGGTACGATCTTCTGACGATGTAATTAATGAGGGTTAAGAGTGAGAAGCGATAGGATAAATTCTAATCAAGAAACATAATTCGAATTAAGATTCAAACATCAAAATCTCATAAAATCATAAACAATAATCTCCATAGCCCTAGCTATGGATTTAGTTACTCATGTAGAAAGAAAGAGCTAAAACAATCAATAACATATCCATAATGAAAAGATATAACAAACTAGAAATGAGACGGATCTTCAGTCTTCAAGTATGGTCACTTGAAGCAAGTTTATGCCAAGAGTATGCTGAGAATCCGTGTAAGAGAGGCGAAAAATAATTGAAAACTTGAAAGACTGAGGTTGTGTGTAAGCTGGTATCCAAAAATAGATGCTCTGACGATCCTCTCTCCCCCTATTTATAGAATTTTAACTCCTTTTGAAATGACTAAGATTGAAGTTCTGCAAATGAGCACGGTCGTTCACACAATGCAGCACGGCCGTACATTAAGTCGAAGCACCTCCATGCTATGCTTGACGTGCTTATTTCTGTGAGGCTTTTAACCCCATCCATTTAGGCCCAAAATGCACCAAAACTCACTTTCGCCTCTTTTCTATCAAACTGCACAAACAATATATAAATTTGTGTAAAATCTTAATAAAGTAAGGGTTAGATATAAATACATGGTCGTAAAATATAGCCAAATTATAAACTTATCATTTAGCACAAATAGTATACTAGACAATACATTTGAAATATTTAGTGGGATAAAATATGTAAGAGTCTTTGGTAATTAGATAGTCATTAGTCAGAAACAAAAGTTTTTCGAATTTTCTACAGCTTACAGAGGAAGGAGATAAAATTTTGAAATTTTTAACAATTTTAGCTTAAGTGAATTTTTTGGCTTAAACAAAAATTATTTCTTTTATTAAATCTTAAGCTAATTTTTTTAGCTTAAGCAAAAATCACTTTTTGTTAAATTTACTTATATAAAAAATGCACCGCAAAGTGCAATGTCTATCAAAACTGTAGAGGATCCAGATCCGTAATTTCATGTGTTTTCTCTCCAATCTTTCCATGTGACGAATTTATGTATGAATCCCCTTTTCTATCTTTCTTTTGATTAGTTTGTGTTATGTGTCACTCAATGTCATTTAAGAGACGCAACAGCCATTACCAAAAGTAAGATACTCCAATTGGGGGTTTATCATTTAATCCACATACACTAAGAATATATTAATATTTTTTTAATAAAATAACGTATTAATAATTATGTTACTTCATTAATATATTTGTTAATCGATATATATAATATAAAACATAACTAAGGATATACATTGAGATTTAACCATAAAAACTATTTTCTAGGGAAATAAAAATTTAAACACAATTTTACGAATATAAATCGTTTAGATGAATGCAATTTTTTAGCTTACAACTTAAGAATCTAGATATGATTAAGTATTTTAAATTTTACTCTCTTTTTTTTTGTTGTCAATTTCTTACTTATTTTACTATAAGTTATTTAAAATTTACACACTATATATTAAAGGATTGAATTGTTTTACTATAAAATTTCAAATTTTTATTTATTTTTTAAATTTAGTTCTTTATTATATTAGCGTGTGCAAAATCAATTCTTACAATTAAATATTTACGCATAAGTTATAACGTGATATTAACACGATTAATAAAATGTTACGTCATTAGTTAAATATGACAAAGAAAAAAGATTTTAAATTTATTTTAAGTTTAAATATATTTTTTCTTCACACAAATTTTTAATTTTAATCAATTCAAATAATTTTTATTTTATTCTTTATTTTTTAATAAATTTTTATTTTAATCTGTAATGTTTATGTAATCAAATAAAAAATTGTATTTGGACTAATCATCGTTAGAAACTAAAAAATAAAAAAAAGTAGAAACTAAAAAAATTATTTAAAAGAGATTAAAACAAAAAATTTGCTAAAATGTAAAAAGAATTATATTTAAATTTTTACTTATACTTATTTTGTTATATTAAAATTTTGTATTTGATCTTTTTTTTTCTTCTCCTTTAATTTTATTTAATCTAAAATGTTTACAATTAGTCTTTTACATTAATGAAACTTTGTTAAATAATAAAGTATTCACAATTGATAACTCTAGTTAGCGAGTTTCATTTGTAGTCTAGGCTCTACTTTTATCGGTCAAAACTAATTCATTGGAAGGAAGTGATTATTGGATAATTTAGGATCAAGTGTTTAGCGACTGACATTATATTATATATTAGTTTTTCTTATAAATTATAAATTTATACACATGACATAATATAATTAGTTAGTA